ATTCACAAGTGCACTATAAGATTAACAAAGGAGTGCAGACCAGTCAGATTGTGGGATTGTGGAACTCTTTTCTTTTTTTTCCTGTATTGCGTGTATTTTGTTTTAAATAAATGACAAGAGAAACGTTAACATTGGATGGACGCGAGTGTTCATTGAGCATGAGTAAGACAAAGCCCCTTACTGTCTCATGGACTTGTTTGCCAGAACAAAGTGACACTGAAGACTGGAGTAATGTCCTGAAAATTCAGCTTTGGGATCACATGAATAAATTACATTTTAAAATATATTAAAATAGAGGGAATAAAATAATATTTCACAATTAAAATAACTGCAGCCTTAAGTGCATCATAAACATATTTATTACTTTGAGTTATTCATGTCTGGGGATTATATTGGGTAGTGTGGAATTGTTGTTTCATACCACAGTCTGATTTTTGTCCATGTTTTTGTTCTTGGTCTCTGCATCTACTTCATTTTTTTTTTCTCCATATGTGCAGTCATCCGTTGTTGCATGTTTATATGGGTAAGCATATGTTCTGGCACAGGTGAATGTGCTGCAGATGCGGCTCCATGAAGTTCAGCCTCAGGTTCTGGATTGTTTGGAGTCACTGGTCGACTCCAAGCTCCTCTCTGCCGACCGCAGCAAACTCCATATGCTCCTGCTTAATAGCAAGAGGTGAGTTTATTTAACTTCAGTAAGAAGCTGCACTCAAAGTCTTTCCCTAGCCATATTATTGTTTTTAGAACATTATGTTCCCAAACGCAAGAGGCATTTAACTACACCATTAAGAACCTACCTTTCTTATTAGCTAATCTTAATGAAGGATCGCTGTGACATAATTGGTATGGTAGGTTAATTGCTGTATGAAGCTTATCCAGAGGTATAAAACGATTGTTTTGTTGTGTTTTTCTTGTGTTAATTAGGGACGAGTCAGGATGGTCGACTAGGCCATCTAACAGCTGTTTTTTAGTAATGTCCCCTGGTGTGTTTTTCAATTTTTCCCCCTTGTGTTTGTAGTTGTAATATTGTTTTATGGTGGTGCTTTTAAGGAGCATAATTTAGAGGTGCCAGAAATTGCATTTAACAATAATTTTCAAGTACTGTACTATTAAAAATTGCCTAATGTGAGCAATGTTCCCATTATAGTGCATAAGCCACAAGTCTGTCTTTGCTGTGAAGTCTGTCTGTGATAGTTTTGTGTAATTAACACAATTATAGAGCGTCAACTAGTCAGTTTTGAAATGTTGTTTTTGCCTCTACTAGTGTTAATAAAAAGTGCCTGATATCGAGCTATTATCAGTTATAATAATATATATCTAATATATATTATTATTATATTATCAATTATCAATGCTATTATCATACTAGGGCTGCTACTAATGTTTTTCTGATGTACAGTGCAGTATTGCAGTATGAAGAAATACATTTTAAGTTCTAATTAGGAAACAATTAGAATTATTTGAGTTTTTT